CTGACGGACTAAGGGCAATGTACCAATCTAGTAACAAAACGCATGGCTTATTCCTTCTCGAGTTATTGATTGGACAATGATTTAACGTTGGACGTCACAGTGACCCTGATTTTTGATCCAATGACCTCAAAATCATTTTATTTTCATCTTTTTGATTTAGGGGAACCCAATGTCCATTTCAGGTTTAAAAACCATTTACATTATTTCTTCTCAAGTTTATCAGACAAGATTTTAATGACATTATGAAGTTTCCATTGTTACCTTGACCTTTGACATATGTATCAAATAATTAATTTGAGGTCATCTATTGGTCATGTCCCTACCAAAGAATTAAACAGGGTTATTTTCTTTTCTCAAATTATCGTTTGGATAAAGGTTAACAGGCCATTAATATGTATGTACTGATCAAAACCCTATCACAGGATTTGGCCCACACCTTTCAAGTGTGTAGGATGGGGGTGCATACAAAAGGGTCCCTAACTTAGTCAAAACAAGGTTAGCTTTTAAAAAAAGCTAGTAGCGACTTCGCTTCGTAATTTCTTTCCAGGGGCGTGTTTAAATGTAAAACTGACAGTTCTGTTAGCTTAAAAGACTTCAGCGAACATCAAAATAAAAGGACATATAAAAGTTAAGGAAGCCAGTTCTCTCAGATTTAACAAAGAGGAATATGAGTATATATGAAGATGCATGTAAACAGATAGAATGAAGTCCCTATGTCTATGCACATTTACTATATGGCCTGTTGACCTTTGACCAGAAAAAAAATAGATAAGTAGAATTCATAAAAATGTCTCTTTTATACGAAGTTAAGTTGTAATATGTTATTTAGTATTGGAATAAAAGTGACATATACAAATGTCCTAAAGTAAACACCAAGGTTGTCAATCAATTCAGCCAGAAAAGCCGGGATCCTATTAAAAAAAAAGGATCCCGGAAATTGACCAGTTCAAGAATATAGTTTTTCAGAAAAGGGCCGGGATCATAATTTTTAAAAAATAAAAAAAGATCCAGGAAATTGGACAGTTCAAGAATATTGTTTTTCAGAAAAGCTGGGGATCGTATTAAATCATATAGGCGAATCCCGGGGATTTGACCAATTCAAGAATATAGTCTTTGATTTTTTCCAATTAATTAGGCATATAATTATAAGTATTGTGATTTTGTTAATAAATAGCTCTAAATATTCTATATCCTAAGTTAAATCAAATTTAACTTCATTACATACCAATGGGCCTTTCATTCGTTAAAATAAAACAACAAAATATTGTTTATAGTTTTTTCCCGTCTATTATCTTATACCCCGATCCCCCAGATCCCGGGCGTTCCCCGGATCCCGGCCAGTTAAATACATACACTAAATACCGGAAAGGAATAAATGACCGGGAAAAAAAGGGAAAAAAAAAAAAATGCACAGAACCAGATGGTCGTTTATGTTAATTAACCAAAAACGAAAACTTACTACAGAGTAAACAGGACATGGTTGAAATCGCTAAATTCAAAAGTCAGTGTAAATATTGATTTTACTGAAAAGAATCCATGAAAACAAACATTTTAATCATTCATTATATCTTTGCGCTCAAAACAAATACTTTGCTGGCTTTTTAAAAAATGGCCCGTGAAAATTTGAAGGCTTTTTGACGCTATATAAGGATCAAATTTTGATTGGTCTAAAATAATTTTGGATCCTAGCCCTGATAAGATAAATTTTGTAGAAAGCTGGAAGCTAAAGCTTCCCCAGAATTAAATTTTTGGATGGAATTTCGGAGTTTTAGGTTTTTCTCAAGTAAAAATCCTAACGTAAAATAACCGGGCTCCCCGGTGGGCGAGCCCGGCAATTTTAATATTTTGTTGTAAAATGGGCCCTTTTATTAGTATGAACCTTAACCTTAAAAATACATGTTTCTAAGACCAGCACAAGGTTTCAAATTGTATACCGCAGTAGTTTCAAAGATTAATGTTTGCCTGAAAACCCTCTAAAATCAGGAAATTTTTAAAGTTTAAAACGATTTCATATAATTTTTATAGTGTTTATTCAATTCTCGTAACGGCGCAAGTTAAAATTATCCGTAGGTAATCTCATGCGCACGAGATAAAGAAAAAAAAAACAACCCATGTCACCTTTGTGTCATTTACTATAGAGCTAGCCGTGTTGAAAAAGAGCAGGAAAAAAACGGGGGAACACTAAAAAACGCCCCAAAACAACAAAATTTCAAATGTTGCAGCTCCGGTTCCAGTTGGAACCCCAGGGCCTGTTTCATGGAATGGGGCCCAACCCGGAATGCCGTTTAAGCCCGTCCGCGGCCTAAGACCGGCTGAAACAGAAATTAAACATTTAAACATTGTAATGGTGAAATTTTGTGTTTAAAAACATCTGGATGTATTTATCTGACCTTTCTGAGGGAATACCTAAGGACTGCGGGAAAGTGGGGGTTTAAAATTTCGTCCGGGGAAACCCTTTTTGGGTTTGTAATTACTTGACTCTTTTGTTTACGTTTAAGTTGTTTTTAAAGGAAGGGGATTCAGGGAATCCCTTCTTGAGCTTATAATGTTCTACAAGATTGAACTAAAATATATACTTTTCATTATAATTTTTAAAAATTTAAATTCCCTATTTGATTCCCCAGGGGAAAATCTAAATTGCCTTTTCCCATCTTTTATCAACCCCTTCCCTTTTAAGCTTTTTGTCATGCTTATAAAAAGAAAAATTCCCCCAAAGGGTTTTCCCTTGGGATATTCCCAAAAAATTCTTGATTGCCCCTTTTATTCAATTTTGTCAAAAATGCACCCAAACTGTTTTAAAGAAAACCCCCAAATTTGAAAAATTTATGGGTTCTCCATAACGCCCTTAAAAAAAAAAACAAAATTTTGGGAGATCCCGTTTTTTTCATTTATTTTTAAAAAATACAATACAAGAAGAAAAAATAACAAAACTCACCGCCGTTTCATAAAGAATCAAGAACAGCAAAGAAAATGGCCCTTACATTGAACTACGGCAGCTCCTACAATGTACCTTCGTAAGATAGGAGTTGAATTGTCGGATTCTTAGAAACTGTGATCAATGACTAAGTAATAGAAAAGATTTGACTGGCGTCACGAACAAAACCAAACATTTTATGGGTTTTTTTCGAACCAGCAGGATCCCGAACCCAAGCCGGCGCCCCCGCGAAGTTGTCTAGAAATCAGAAAATCCTGCTGTTTCGCCTTACAAACATTATTACAAGTAAAGAAATTTTGATAGCGAAAACAAGCATCCCCTGAATCACCTGCCCGTGGTCCTTGATCCCTCCTGGGCCCCCGCAAAAACGCCCACTAATGTTTGCGTTTTGTCGTGACGCCGGGCTCATTTTAAAATGAACTGAAAAATATCATGACAAGCACATTGTACTCATAACAAATCCTGGAGTGGTTGTCAATGCTTTTGTAGTAAAACAAGACATGAAATATTGTTAATCCGTAAAAGAAGTTACACTAAGTTCTTGATCAGTATCAATTAAAAACAAAAGTTGTAAAATGCAAAAGTATGTTTTAAAAACAAAGGTTTTACTTTTTAGAACTTGATGCAAAAGTTTCAAAAATGAGTAAATATCTAAGGCTGTTATCTTTACATAAAGTGTAACATCTGTTTGGGGAAAACATAAATTTTGGTCATATTCTGATTGAAAATTATATATAAGACAATTTGAATCAATTTCAGGACAGTCAACTTGTCATTTATTTTGGTTTCTAAACAATTTAAACAAGCAAATATATAAATATTGTACATTTATAAGTACCCTTTACTATCATTAAATAAAGAAACTCAACAAAGTCCACCATAAACAAACTATTTGTTTACGTATCTATATTTGAAGCGAATGCTCTACCATCGTATCCAATCTATGTATTAATTAATACAGCGACGAGGGCCTTATCCGATGTTTGAAGGAACGGGCCCAGACGTTTCGATTGATTAAGCCCTTAAATAGTATTTGTTCCTGCAAAGTCTGATAACTATTACAAAATCATTCAATAAAACTTGAATAAAAATATGTCTATTCCATGTCTACCTAGGCGCATTGATAATTAAAGAAATACACTATCGGGAAACGAAACTGAAATGATTTCAGTACCTGATATTGAAGAGGGTATCCAAGAATTACTCATTAAAAATTGGTAAAGCTGTTTGACCCGGGGTTTATAAAAGATGGTTTCTGTATTAGAAAGAACTAGAGCCCTGATTATCTTCAGTTCAGTCTGGGACATCAACATAGCATTTAAGGTATGTCAATGAGATGGTTCTATCAAAACGTTAGTAATGATAAATTTTTAAAATATTTTTACATAAAAAAATCTCAAATGTGTGCATAGCAACATATGAGTTCAAGCATTACTAGTATACAATTGAAACAAAGAAAATTTACATTTTAGCAAAACGTATAATTTCTTATACGTTGGATAAACGCATTTAATTATTGTATCGAAACAGAATTATTTCATTCAACAAACGGTATTGAAAATGTTATAAACAGTATGATGCATAAAGTGATTAAAAATTTTAACATTAAAGCTTATATTTCCATTGACAAAATAATGTTACATAAGTAACGTTATTCAAAACTATTCACTTAAAAAGTGAAGTGAATAAAATTTATGTTATGAACATTACACTTTTCATTTTGTTATCGCGCATGTTATATACTTAATCTAAGCATTGGATTTTAGTAATCTTACAAATAGCTTCTTGATTTAGGAACAATAACAATTATTGCGATCGACAAAAAGCCAAATATAATACTGACCAATTCAAAGTGATATTTAAAAGCGGCGTATTGCATACACTATTTCAATAGTCAGTAAACAAACGTTTATACGTGGCCATATTACCTGTCAAGGTGATGAGTGTTGCTAAATCTTCCAGACCATGGCAGTAAGCCATATTGAATTTACCAGAGCACAATTCACCCACTGCATTGTTCCTGGCTAGACTGTCAAGTAGTTTACCAGTACTAGTTGGCAGTTGCTATCACATTCGCAAGGAACTGATAACTTCTGTACATGAAAAAGCTAATGACCGAGGAAATGATTTCATGATCAATTACAACCAAAGGGACCTGCACCGTCCGATAATCGAACCCGGGTCGACAAATGCTCTGTCCAACTCACTACTTTATGAGCTAACCGGATGATTTTAACCTGTCCCTAACGAATTTATATCAATGCACAAACTCTTTTTTATCAAAGGTTGAAATTGCAACAGCTGCGATTATTTATAATATATACGTCATCATCCATTGTAAGCCGAGGCTAATACATTCAGTATTAGAAGAAACATAGTTTACATACCTAAACTTATGGCACTGGAGAACAAGTTACTTTCGGACGAGTAAAGCTGCGAAGTGACCGGAACTGTTAAAAGGAAATGTCAATGAAAAAAAGGTTTAAAGCTCATTCTAAATATTTATTCCACACCTTTCAAGGTAGTCGCTAGTTTCCTGCCGAAATTTGACACTATTTCAGATCTTAATTTTTGGTGTGCCAGCATGGAGATATGTTAGTGTTACTTCCACATAATTATTTTGTAAATAAAGAGCATTAAAATGAAATCAAAGCGCCTTCTATTGTTGTCAAATTTCGGTCAGAAGGTAGCAAACTACTTTATACAGTAATAAGTATTTTTTTCAATACTTCATACGTGGACAGCTTACATTTATCTTATCTTGTAATTTATTTTAGAGAATGAACTTTTTCTAACGTTGGTAGTATAAAGTTGCCTATGGATGCGAGTATCCAAAGTTGTAACTCAATGTATTTCTCAAAACATGGACAGTCCTGTGCGAAAATCAATTAAGCCTGCCATATGTTCATGGCTAGAGTTCAACCCAAGCGGTTAAAGGTGTGTAATACTCATTCAGTAATTTTGGATAATGTACGAAAAAAGGCATCATTATCTACCACAAAGAAATGTTTATAATACTATTATTCATATTATTTTAGTTGAGTTTGCATGAAAGAACAAACAAAAATGGTGATTGTTTGGTAGTTTACACTCCTGATCACGGCATTAAGCCACATGGAATTTACTAGAGCACAGTTAAGCCACTCATCGTTCCTGAGCTTGCTGTACAGCAGTTTACCAGTACTAGTCTCCTTCACTTTCGCGAGGAAGTGATACCTTCTGCATATGCAAGAGCAGTAGGTACAGTGCGAATGACCAAAGAGAGGATTTCATGATCAACTCAATCACAACGAAAGTAACATGCACTGCCCTGGAATCGAACCCGGTTCACCCAATTCATAGTCCAACGCTCTACCTTTAGTTCTAAGAGGACGGCTACACATGATACTTAATGTAAAATCAACTTTTAAGTGAGCTGAATCAATTCAGCTTGACTCCATTTGTACAATCATAACATGATATTTCCAAACATGATATTACCTGTAAATGTACACACTGCATGTGCTTTTGGGAGCCATCTTTTATCTTGTCCAGTACATGAAAATACAGCGTTTGCGTCAAAGGTATACGGGTCGTAACAAGAAATACTTGCTAGAGTATTGTAATTTCCGAAGTAACAAGCTCTCCCATTTGTAATTTGTAAATATTCTTTACATATTGGATCTGTAAGCAATAATACTTAATTTTAGGTAGGAAAACTTAAGCTTTTCATATATAAATATTTCCTACTTAACATATGGCATCACAGTTGGTATTTAGAAAGGTGATTTCGAGGATGTTGTTAATGATCCTCCTACAAAAATGTGGCCGCTAAAATATTTTGCAAGATACTTACTCATAACATTTTAAAAGACCAATATTTCGCTAGAATTGCAAATATTTTTATTTACAGTTTTTTATCTAAATGTTAGGGATAAAAATGTTTTGTGACAGAAATGAATGAAGTTTTATAAAGACAATTTCCTTATTGTTTAAAATGCCTTGAATCAGAAGCATTTTTGATGACAAATATATATGATTACATTTCAATTCTTTTATGACAATTTTGCCCGGAGTGTATAAAAATATTCTACGTTGAGGGTTAGGTAAATCATAATGGAATAAAGGAATAGAGCATGCTAAATCTATGCCTGTCTACACTTCAACCAAAAGTCACTTCATTCATGATACATAATAATAAATTATGGCATGATCAATACCGCTTACCATAGCCATTAAAATCATGATAAAATACACACTGCTAAGCTCGGCAAACCATAGTCATTTTAATCATGATAAATAACAATACATATAAATCTTATTTGCTCAATATGAATGTGAATTTTTTAACAAAATTATAGATATTTTTACACACTATCGAAGGTCTACGGTGTTCCGTTTGGACACGTTTGGACAATCGTGACATTTTATTTATTCTGTACCCGCGATGCACGATGGTACGATGGTGAAAACGCGATGGCACGATGGTACGATGGTGAAAACACGATGGTACGATGGTGAAATCGCGATGGCGCGATAGTACGATGGTGAAAACGCGATGTTACATCGCGTTTTCACCATCGTACCATCGTGATTTCACCATCGTACCATCGTGATTTCACCATCGTACCATCGCACCATCGCGCAATCGTGTTTTCACCATCGTGCCATCGCGTTTTCACCATCGTACCATCGCACTTTCACCATCGTACCATCGCGATTTTACCATCGTACCATCGTGATTTCACCATCGTACCATCGTGTTTTCACCATCGTACCATCGTGCCATCGCGTTTTCACCATCGTACCATCGTGCATCGCGGGTACAGAATACAGAAAACGCGATGGCACGATGGAACGATGGTGAAAACACGATGGTACGATGGTGAAAACGCGATGGTACGATGGTGAAATCGCGATGGTACGATGGTGAAATCGCGATGGTACGATGATGAAATCGCGATGGCACGATGGTGAAAGCGCGATGGCACGATGGTGAAAACACGATAGCGCGATGGTGCGATGGTACGATGGTGAAAACACGATGGTACGATGGTGAAATCACGATGGTACGATGGTGAAAACGCGATGTAACATCGCGTTTTCACCATCGTACTATCGCGCCATCGCGATTTTACCATCGTACCATCGTGATTTCACCATCGTACCATCGTGTTTTCACCATCGTACCATCGTGCCATCGCGTTTTCACCATCGTACCATCGTGCATCGCGGGTACAGAATAAATAAAATGTCACGATTGTCCAAACGTGTCCAAACGGAACACCGTAAAGGTCAGTTCACCGAAAGCTTCAAAGAGAAGCCTTAATATTATATTTGCTTAAAGTGAGCATTCAAATATCCAAATTTTACAATTTCTCATAATGGCTTAGAAGTTATTCAAATGAGATCTATTTAAATCTCTATTTTATCGTAGCATCTAATGTGCCATGGTATTTGAATCCCAAACTTATAAACTGTCTTGTTTCTTTTTTATTTTTATTTATTTATTTATTTATTAGAGTGGGTGGGGTAGGGGATCTTTGGACATACGTATTATGTGTACGAAAAAACATTTTTCCCATTGTTTCTAGGTATACTTACAGTTTGGACGCATCGTGTTACAAGAAGCCGCCTTCACTAGTTTATCATTACCTAAAAAAAGAAACATTTTCTATTTTTCATTATCATTGTTTCGTAACTTAAAAAAGTTAATGCAATTTATCAAATATATCAAATACATATTTAAACATACAACTTGCAGGTAGCCGGCACTTATTCAGAATTGCTTTCTCTATTAAACTATTATTTGAACGTACAACAGAAATGTGATATAGATTTTTCAGACATATATCAATTCAGCATTGAAACTATTATTGGAAAAAAGGAAATGTTTTGCATTTATTTTGACACCATGTCTTCAATATCGGCTTTTAAAACGATCAAATTTTCGTAAGTCATTTCAATTTTTTTTTATAAAATCCTTTTTAACAGATGAAGATGATTTTGTAAAGGCAAATTTAGCTTGACATGTTAACCGAAAGAAGATGAACTTTAGTGAGTTTGTGCTTGCAAATTCCTATTATAAATCAGTACAAAATGAAGCAAATTTCAGTTTTATGTTAGTAAAATAACTAGGACGGTAGATATGATATGCTTTCTTTATCTAAAAAGTGAAATTATTCTGAAAAGATATACACAATTCTTTTAACAGCTTACCGTCTAGCACAGCAGGAAAAATAAATTTATGAGTCAAGAATTTTTTGTTTGTTTGTTTGTTTGTTTGTTTTATTTTACGCCTTTTTCCAACAGTATTTTTGTCATATAGGTGGGTAGTTTCCTAACCATCGTTCCTGGAGAGTTACACCAGTACTAGACTACCTTCCTCCGCGCTAAACTACCAAAGCATCTCCCGGGGATCGAACCCACGCCAGAGAGGTACCTGAATTAGAAGTCATCAACTCTAACCCCTCGACCACGGAGGCGGTGAATAAAGAATTTAAATGTTTATACTCGTCTATAGTTAAAAACAAATTCAAATAGAAAAGAAAACAAATACTTACCCAGAAGAGCAAGAACAGCCACAAAAGTAAAGTAAAATGAAACGTCCATATTTATTTACTTTTTTATCCAAAGCTTAAGAAGTTGATTACGGAAGTTTGAATGGATATGACAATCAAGCATCGTATTTTGAACATAGTATTCAATGTATTCAATGACCGCATTAAAATGAATTGCATCTGCACGCTTCATCTAACACTGAATTTTATAGATTATTTATGTGATATCAAGCCTTATCTACTGGTTAAATCCTATGAGGAATAGGTTGAAAAGCAATGCATATTAATGATGATTCAAGGGGAGTTCAGAAGATATGCGGACTTATCATGTCCCTGTATTTCCATGTGCAGCTTTATACACGAACGTTGCAATCTTCAGCCAGTAACTTGATTTTAGAAACAGTTGTATACTCAGTTTTCTTTTTTGTTTTGTGTTTTCTTTTGCCTATTGACATACGATGTACGATTTGACTGCTAAAATCTTTGTAAACGCTCACTAATAAAGTGTATGCTTGTCGAACAAATGAAAAACACCGCTACACTTTTAACGATATAAACTTTTTTTTATTACTTATACGTTTAATTCCTCTAACTGAGTTGTTGGGCAAGCGTGACCTTTTCCCGACTCTTCCATATGAACTTCACGGGATAAAATTGATATATATCGTAAGACAGTTAGTCGCAATTTCTTTTCTACTCATATAAGTATTAATAAGAAAACGGCATTACCAATCCTAATTATGTGTGTATATATATGTATATGTATATAATTATACAAGAAGCTAAAGCATCATTTCGCTTTATATTAGAAAAAGGTTTTAAAACTAAAAAGGAAAGCGAGATATCTTCTTTGTATTAATATTCATAAAAATGTATGTGTAAGTAGCGACTAATTGTTGAAAAACATCTGCCGATCTTAATATAGATTCTCGAATATTTCCTTTCATCTCTGTGGGTACATTTGAGCCGCGCCATGAGAAAACTAACATAATGGGTTTGCAACCAGCATGGATCCAGACCAGCCATCTCTGTGGGTACATTTGAGCCGCACCATGATAAAACTAACATAATGGGTTTGCGACCAGCATGGATCAACACCAGCCTGCGCATCCGCGCAGTCTGATCAGGATCTATGCTGTTCGCTTACAAACCGTATAACAAGTAGAGAAACTGATAGCGAACAATATGAATCCTGATCAGACTGCGCGGATGCGCAGGCTGGTCTGGATCCTAGTTCTGGCTTCCAAAACTTTATAAGCCGCTCTTTAACATTTTAGTTTTTCATCTGATGCGGCATTAAAGTTTTGGATTAGACCCGTTACGAAACCTAACCAGAATAACATAAGTGGATTTATTCTTGTTTTTCACTTGCAAATACACTTGACCCAATCAATTCTTGTGCATTTTACAATAAAACACTTATTTCAATATCGTTATATTCCAATTACAGTATCAAAATATTAATACCGTCATTAAAATTGCCTATTTAACTGTAAAACATCAATTTACGCCGACGACAGTCGGCCATATGACATTCAGGTGCCACGCGAGACCTCGTATGACGTCATTCGCGGGAACAGATTTGAATAGAGTCGTGTACTATATTTAGAACATTTTGTTGACATGATTTCGATATTTTTATTCAAGATAATGTTTTTATTTATTTCATAAATTTTTTAGTACTTAAATATGATTTTATTGAATATAAAAGTCAGTTAATCACCTTTTTCAATATCTTTAAAAAAAAGTAATTTATAAAAATATTGGAGGCACATGGGCTCATTAAGGTCAATCTCGTAATCACGTGGTCAAACATTTTGGCAATATGGCGGCCAAGTGCCGAAATTTTTACTTGTTGGAAACTATTAGGTAGTTTATGTTCCTAATAATATTTTTGTTTGTCCATCCTTGGCTTATCAACAGATTATATATAGTTTTATCAAGGTATGCTTCACTTTACTTCATGGCATGTTCGATGAATGAATGCGAGCGTGTCAGATTCCTGGCACGATTATTGGTGGCTCATTTAGTATTTTTTTATTCTACCAGTATATAGACTAGCATGCAATCTTATAGCTTACTTTTAATGTTTTGAAATATCTTAAACCATGAATGGACGGTTCAAAGTCAAAGCTTGACAAGTCCAATTCAAATATTAAAGAGGTTAATAGCTAAATTGTTGTCATTTCCAGTTAACTTGAAGGAATTACAATGAATATTTTTTTAAAAGAATGTAAAATCGTGCTAACATATAACATTTTGATAAAGAAAAGAACTGTTAACTTCATCTGTTGATAACCAATTCTTTTTGACAGCGATAGCATCAACAGAAAAAAATGTCCTTCAATAGTCCCTATCATGCCTTTTTTGCTTTATTTATTTATTTCCATTTTATTATTAGAAATTCTTAAACTACGAAGGCACAAAGGTAACAGGTGTGTGCTCTATTTGTCTTGCACCACATAATGCTCGTGTGCACCACTTACTTATCTCATGCGCACGACTTAGTAACTCGTGGCCACGACATGATATCTCCTGCGCGCCATTTAATTATCTCGTGTGCACATTTAGCATATTGTGGCCTCCTGCGTACGAGATAACTAAAAAGCACAAATATCACCTCTTTGCCACCATATAGAGCCAATGGATATGGGATACAATTGTTTTGCATTGTTTTACCAAAGAGTTTTGAAAGTACGAATTAAAAAAAGTAATCTACCGTTGCAAGTGTAAAAGAAACACTGTTAAAATAATACCATTTCGTAACTAAGTTTACATATTCAATGACAATTAAATCTTAATTTCTTTTGTAATGAATTGTGTTTAAATTTGAAAAACAAATCAACCAGCGTATGAATAAAATACACATATTATAGATAGTTAACAAGGACATGTATAAAACAAAAATTCTAAAGTAATATCTAAAAACAAATATATGCATTAAAAACTACAGGGATTCTTTTTCATCAATCAATATAGGCATATTCGTTTGAACTATCCAGTCTTGTAAATGTACAAGGTGTTAAATACGATGTATTATCGTTGCTATTTGAAGCTGTATATTGGTTATCAGCTGTCCCTGAATACGGATTTGAGTAGCCACGAACTATATCTACTAATTCATTGTAATCGTGAATTTCAGAAACGTCTCTAACATCTTGTCTCGGATTGGTTGTTCGTCTACCTCTCCTGTAGTGATAGAAATATCGACACACGAGTACATTATTTCTTTACGTTTGCTCAACATGTGAGTTTACATTTTGGTGTAGAAATTTGATATATGAAGGGGTTCGAATTAAAGCAAGACAGCAAAATGAAAATATAAAATGTACCGATAATCTAATATTTGCACAACTTTGTGTTCAAATCCCACTAAAATGAAATGTTCCATAATGGAATAATATAAGATCTTTAATATCATTAATTATTGTTTGATAGCATCTTGTATCGTACACGGAAATATAATATGCAGATGGTTTTGTAAGTGTAAAACACAACATAGCTAGAGAAAAATCTGATGACAAATTGTCCTAGAACAAAATATTATCATCCGTTAGATAAATGTTCATACTTAATGACAATTAATTCTATCAACATTTTTATTCTTCATGAATACCCGATGTATGTAAGAAAAAGGGTGAACAAATGAATGAAAAACACTACATACTGTCGTCCAACAACGAATGCAACAACCGCCACAATAACACAAAACATGAACACAGCAGCCGACAATATGTATATTATGAACATAGAATCTTCCTTGTCTGGATCTGTGACTTCTGTTTGGTAAATAATTATAGAATATTTATAACAACACATTAAAATGAGCCGTGTCACGACAAAACCAACATAGTGCATTGGCCACCAGTATGGATCCAGACAAGCCTGCGCATCCGCGCAGTCTGATCAGGATCCATGCTGTTCGCTATCAGTTTCTCTACTTGTAATATAGTGTGTAAGCGAACAGCATGGATCCTGATCAGACAGCGCGGATGTGCAGGCTGGTCTAGATCCATGCTGGTCGCAAACCCATTATGTTGGTTTTGTCGTGACGCGGCTCATATGTTTAGCAGAGGTAACTGAGAATTATCACAGTTACATCTATTCTAAATTCATACTCGTTCACATTGCCCAATCTATAAAACATATCCTATATATAAACTATATACAGTTTTTATTTTGAAAAAAAGAAATATTTTAAAACTTATAAGTAAGATAAAAATGTATTCGCTAAATTATGTTAACATGCAGTTCTGATATCTCAATAAATAAAATGCAGGATAAGAAATTGCATGCTTTGTCTTGTTGTGTTAAGAGAACCGGTAACCTGAATTGCAATAAAATGCGCTGTGTATGTGAAATAGGACAGTAGAAGTTGTATTAATGTCTAGCCATGTATTTAATGAAACTCGTATAAATATTACCTTTTATAGACATGGTTGTGAGGTTAAAAGTTGTTTCATTGCTTACAAAACGCGTCGTCGATGTTGAAGTTATAATTCCTGCAGATGCCGTTGATTTTGATGTCGTTTTTACTCGTGTGAATATTTCTCTCGTGATTGTGGTGGTGCTTGTAGTGGAGATGGGCGGAGATATAGATGGAATTACTAAAATAACACGTTGAGTCAGGTTAACTCGACATTAATAACCAGTGGTTTTTATTTTTCATTTAACATACTCTTCTTAACTTATATTCGGGATTTCTAGATTTAAAGATGAAAAACAATTTATCAAGTTTTCAAATTTATTCTAAAATATGTGGCCTTTTGATAATTTCATTTCCAGAAGTATGAGTAACATACAAGCGTTGCCTTTTCTTTGCTCCATATCTAATTTAAAGAATTATCTGCCTTTGATTTTCATTTTATGTTGAATGATTATCGAGTTGAATGATTATCAGAAATAATTATAATAATGCAGAATAATGGTTTGTTACATATAATATCAATTGGTACAACTGTGAGTACATGTCACTTAAGTGCAATTAATTTCAATTATCAAGACAAAGCAACTGACCTTCTGAACAGTTACGTCCCGTCCATCCTTCTCTACATGTACAAACATAATCACTCGCAGAATTATCAGTACATTTTATTGCATTGTTTCCACATGGCTGCTTGACACAATCTATTATCAAGATTATATTCAAGTTGATAATTCAATCTTTCTCAATGCATCCAAAACATATTTAAACTTTTGGATATTCCGATTTCAGACATGCAGAAAATATCTTATTGACGTATGCCCCATCAATTTTTTAAAATATTTGAACGATTAAAGGGAGTTTTTTTTAAAAAGGGCTTTCAACTTTCTATTCAATGACTGTATGAAAACAGTTGTTGGCTTAGTCTAAGGTCCATTTGTACAGACTCAATCAAACCGAGTCTGCAATTTTCATGTAATTTTGTTGTGATTAATGATTCCGATAGATCGCCTTTCTCAAGATCTTTGAATGATTTATGCGTTATTAACCATTCAACCAATTTATTTTAAGTATAGATAAGCATTCAAATACTGATTTGTTAACCATGTAACGATACAAGATAAACACAAACTTTAGTTGAATCGAATTCAGTTTCGTCTTTTGTAGTATATTAACAACAAAATTGAAATGATTTCGTATTAGGAAGGCAGATGCATCAAAATTTGTTAGAAAAAGGTTTTCAATAATAAAAAATTATTTAAACATCATGGAAAGATTGAAAATAATCCATGCAATCGCAGCTTTCTTCTCATTCAATATTATGATTATATATTATCAAAACTGTGCCTACTCCAATTATCGTATATTGAAATATGTGATACACCACCACATATTTCATTCTGGTTCCCAGTACATTTTAGTGTACACCTTGTTCCAGTCCGGGTGTTCATTAATGTTGTACCACAGTGACACTGGTTTGCAGCCTAAATGATAGATACAAATCATAATGAATATAATAAATGTTAAAATCAAATAGATTTGTCGGTACATATGATAAATGTTCAACTAACATAGTAATAAATAGGACTAAGGCAAATATTAAATTCAAATCTAAATCATTTGATAAAAGTTAAATTCAAGTTCTACTATAGTTATTCTATGAAAACAAAACACATATAATCATTGTAAAAAAAAACAAATGGTAAATTTTAATCTTGATAAATTTGGCCATTTTTATACTCAAATCTTCATATATTAATGTAAAAATAAATTCATATAATTCTTAATTTACAAAACCATGGCAAATGCTCAAGTCAATCTAGATAAATCTGAATAATTGTGGTAAGTGAAAGTAATCTTTCATCTACACGTTTGTTTCAACTAAAAATGTGTTAATCTAAATCTATGTTTTTCATAGTAAATTAAGTTACTTCCAAAAAGAAATTGACTTTTACATTTCTATGTTACTTTGTTTCAGTTATTACGTGTGTGCATATATACTTAAAAGATAGTTAAAAGATAAACAAGCAAATAATATAAAACATTATCAAAAGGAGCATGCTTGATCTCGATGAATATGCTTAAACATGTATGAGTGCTGTACTTGATAAAGCTTTCATTCACTGACCTAGATAGTACCTGTTTTATGCGATAACGAGGCTATTTCGAGTTTCTACGAAAGCCAGACATATTGTTCTGTGGCGACAGTCGGTGTTTGGTTCTTTTTGCATATTATAACATATCAATTAGCTATAAAGAGTTCACCAAGGAAGTACAAAGATAGATATGTTTTACTGTAATACAGTTTCGTATCAATTTAAATTATCATCACTATCGGCAAAATGGTGTCATCATTAGAATACAGGCGTTAAAACGACGATATTACAAAGCACGATACTCATTTTAGTTCATAATGACACCGGTGCGGTGTACAGATTAGAAAATTCAGCAAAAATGATCAAATAAATCAATAAAAACTAAAAGTTAAAGAGCAACATGAATATGAAGCAATAATTTAGTTTTATAACCCAATTAGAATAGCAGTGTTAGATGGTCGTACGTTTACCTTTGTTCCAGCATAACGATATCCTTTGCAACGTTGTTTACACTCATCGCCGCTGTTGGTATCAGACGATTTTAAACGTATTGGAAGTTGCTGGCCCCCACCGTCATCAAAACAGCCTATATAACCAACCGGCTCGTCATAAGCTTAATGAAGAATAATTTAAATTATCATTCAAATTAACTTGAGCTATGTGAGTTTATATTATAAATCTACATGCACCAAGTCCAGATCAGATGGAATACTCGAGATAATAAACAGCAAATTTGCCAAAGTGATTGTAAGGACGATTCTATTGTTCGGTAATTTGTTTATTTTTTAAACATTGCCATTTTGATGTAACTAGTTGAGTATACATGTATATATAAATAATACTTAATATTTTTTTTTACTATTCGATATGAAGTTGAAACAAATAATACACAGATGATATTGAATGAGTGTAAGTTCAATACTGAATTTATTGCACGAGTTGAATAAAATTATATTATGCGAGCCTCTGGCGAGCATGATATTATTTTATTCAACGAGTGCAAAATATTCAGTATTGAACTTACACGAATTTAATATTCTATTTATCACATACCCAAAATAAAGACCGTTTCAAGTGAAGTATTGACGCTCCTATAGTATCACGCTAACATTTAGCGCGTCTTTACACTATGTCTGTATAACGCTAATGACGTCACGTCAAAATATATGCACGGGCGTGCAATACCATATTTACGGAGTCGCAAAATCGGCACGGGTGTGTGATAAAGCTTATATTTTCTGATAATGTGATAAGATAAACACTATACTGAACTTTAATGAACGATCTCCATACATTAAACGTACAGTATTTAATTTACATGCATCATAAAAGACATGAAATTAATTTATTAAAGTAGTTACCATGGCGCCTTATTATCATAAAATATTTCCTTAATTGAGTTTACATTTTATGCAGACAATAATAAGTCTTAAAAGTATTCATAAACAATGTTTGTGGCAAGATTTTTATTGTTTTGGTTCGAGTCTGAAATAACAACGAATGAAATATTCTTTATTCAGCCAGATTACGCAGGAACAGTGCGAAATCGCCGTGTAATGCCCTATTTTAATATAAAACTAGTGTTATAAAAATGATTTCGTAATGGAAATTACAATACTACCAGAGACGCTGTGTGATAAAACAATTCTAAATATAAGAATGACACGGAAAAATGTAATTTACCTTGAACAGTATAAATGATTATCAGAACGTTTAAGTTAAAAACTAAATCCATTTAAATATGTTTCATATTTAACTGACGAAAATCGTTTTTATACATTTTGTAATTGTGTTAATTACATACGTTTATTAAATGAAATGATAAAAATCACTTGATTTATAAGTATTCTTCCGTCCGCATATATCCGGTCTGCACTTACACCTATGACACATCTATTGTCGTTTATTCTTTATATTTCTATACTCACCCATATAGCCAGCTTATATTGATGATTCCATTGGTCAATTTTAATCCATCAATATGTTGTAATATCTTTGCAACTTTTGTGTCAAACATTTATTTAAAATATAATATTAAAATAAAATCTATATAATAGATATCTATAAATAGATATAATTAGAAACTCGTCTGCTTCTATCGCAGTTTAATATCACACTACAACATGGATGGAAAACAGTTTTATGATAACATAATGAATTAATTCAAAATATTCCATTCAACATGTTTAGGGTTAATGTTTCTAAAATCACTATAACGATGAATGTTGCTTAAGACTGCGCAAAGGGGCATGATCCGTGGCTTGCACTTACGACTACCGGCCATGAACAGGCCATACAGCATTTCCAAGTTTGCTGTTATGGGCGTTGTTAAAATAGTTCGTATTTAAAATTAAATGCGTGATGACTGAATTTCAAAACTATGACATAAGTTTAATAGTATTTGGTAAACATATATGTAACTGATCCATACAATATCACACACTTTAAAATCTGTCTATTGGAGTTTATTGAAAGTTATGCCAATCACATGTAAACTAGTCAGTCTGACGACCCAAACAAATAATGGTAGCGGAATTTCAGACTCTAATGCTGTTAATTGCAAGTGCCGAAAGTAGTCCGCTTGTTTGAAGCGGTTATTTCCCTTTATATGTAACACTTAGGCCTAAAATATAGGGGAGATCACTGCGTAAATATGGTCACATGACAGGCGGATTAATTTTCAAGCAAAATAATTCCCGAATAGACGAAGATTTCTAATATTGTTTTATTCTTTATAGATATTCGAGTACATGCTTATAGTAAGCGCCATGATTATTTACACAAGTGTTGAACAACAGTTAGCGTCGTTACAAACCCTAACTAGAATAATATGGTTTTCTTCAGAACGTTACCATGTAATTTCCCCGTGGCCGAGTGGTATGCGCGCTCGCTTAGGAAGTGAGAGGTCTGGAGTTCATTTCCCAGTAAAGGCAACTCTTTTTTTTCTAATTGTTTATGGAACGAATATCAGTGTTGCAATTAGTCTTATAGTCAATCTACTACAATGAAAACGCTGGAAAGCATTGGTGGCACTATACAAAAACAAATTGTTTTATAATCTCACAACCTTCACCTTTCTGACATTCTGAGACCCAAACAAACTCAGCGCCTTCTGTGCTTTGATTTATTATCTTGTTAATTTTTTATATAACCGTATAATAATTATGTTTTAAAATAATATCAAATGTGTTGTAGGATTTACATTGCGTTTCATACACAAAAGAATGATGACAATTTTGATTCTTTTACATGATGGGACTGTGAATAAGTTCTCGAGGTTAATATTTCATTCCATGTAGGTCTAGACCAATAACTTGTGTGGAATATTTCAGATTTTTCACTCACGCCGTTTCTCCAGTATGTATTTTAATTATGAAAAATGCCCCGAAATTGTAAAGCTCTGCAACACTTTTCACTCAAATAGCTTAAGCAATGGAAAAGATCAGCATACGATCTTCAGTTTAATTTTATTAATCTTCATAATTATGTTTAACATAGTTTTCTCTGTTTTAAGTGTCCCTGCTGATCTATGTTAGCTAATCAATTTTTATGTTTTAAGTCTTCAGTGAATAACTTGCATACATGTTACAAATGACCCACATGTACAGAGATGCTGATGGTGACATAAGTTTCAATGGATTATGAAACAAACAACAGAGTTTATTAAAGGTGGAATACATACAATTAATTTACAAAGGTACGCATTGACATTTAAGAAAGCACACATGAAATCAGTGTAACAATGATTTATAGATTTCAAGTAATGGCAGACTATTGGGAAAAAACAGATAGTTTCAGAAAATAGAACGTCAATGTTTATTCGTATTTATGGAATTAATAATTTATATATTTAAGCTTTTGGTAAAGTTTAGCGTCAGTTCAGTCGTTTAACTATCGACAAATTCAACTATGTAAATGTGAGTAACCGTCGCCTTCTAATTTTGGACTAGATTTTCCAGCAAAACAATGATTGTATCCTGAGCTTTCACCGTACATATCCTTACTGTCCGTTATGTTGTCCCTAGTGCGATCTGTTTGTTGCATATTCAACTTATTATAAGAATCTTCTACATCATCTTCCTTTGTTCTTAACACTTTATTGACTTGAGCATATTCGTCATTAATGGTCCGTCCATCACTATTTGAACCAGTTACGTGCGAGTAGCCCTGATTGACGAATTGAATGTCAGTTTGTAAAACATGATTGTAACCAACTGCAACTTCTGTTTCATCATCTCTAGCAATTTCATCTATTGCACTGTACCCATCACTCATTACGTCATCTTGTATTTCTCGCTCCATCGGTATAACAGCATAACAAGAGTCCTGAAAATAAGGCTGTCTTTCTGGTGGAAGTTCTTCTGGGGCCGAGGGTTCTTTTATGACTGAAGTATTAATTGCGGTTGACGCAGTTCTCCTCCGCCTGTTTGAAAACATTGCAAGGAAGATTTGATACCGGAATAAATAAAAGAAATAGAGGATTTCAAAATGTCCAAGATAATCAATTTCTTTTTAGTATTCTGATTGCAAAACTAAAATCCAATAAAAGTTGTTTGAGATCCAATATTCGTAAGGCTCAGTCTTTAAAGAATGTACTTTATTTATCAAAATGTTTTATGTGGTATTTAGGCACAAATTGCGTTTGATATTGGTGTCTTAGTATGTTTATAAGTCTAAGTATCTTTAGCATAACAAATATACCTTCAGTAAAGTAGTTCGACATCTTAAATATGTTCAATTACATTGAATATATGCGTTGTTAATGCTGAAGGTATCAATTCTTAACGATAATATCAATTTATGTATTATACATATACAAATATAGATGTTACAAAAATACGTATCATTACTTTAATTTTTACATCTTGCTTGTATGTTAAATAAGTGGTCACAAAAATAACATGATATTATGTGCAATAAAAGATAAATATGAAACCGTTTTACAAGAAGCCTCTTAAGTTGTAAATAATAAGAATTGTAACATTTTTAAACACTTATGAAACAATTAAAATTAGTCATACCTCCACATATAGAAAGTAATTAAAGCTGCAATTATCAATGTACATATGATTGGGAGAACAATTGCAACAGTTAGTGATGAATTGCCTCCATCTGAAAAAGAATTGAGGTATAGAAATAAGGTATAAACTAGAATTAACATAGACGTGATCTTTATTTACATCAACATCAACATATGTTTCCTCACGAACGGTCTATAACCCTTGATTATATTTCGATGAACTGTTATTCACAGTTACTGTTCTTTAATGTTGTACTTGAGAATAATGTATTAAGATTTTAGGAAAAGTAGAAATAAAATAAAGTAATAATTTGCATGTTATGTGCAATTAATGACTAATTGTGCAGTCCGTTATTCGTATGTTATCATAAATGTAGTAGTATACTGCATGTACAAAAAGAAATGAGTTAGATAATTAAAATCTTCATTGATCTTATGTACACAGAACCAAGCACTTTTGGTGTAAGTAGAGTAGGACATTGATGGCATTTTGTGACTTTCCTCAAACAGAATCCACTGTCGTAATACAGATATTTTCTGTCATTGAATAACAAATTTCATTAAGAGTGTGTAATTTTCATTCTCATTGTTTTCATTGTTATATCGGTTGACATGATTACTTATACAATATTTATAAACGTTTACTGATCCTGAACACAAGCAAATATTTAGTTTAAGTCAAGATATCACAATAATAAATATATGATAGTCTGCCATGTCCATTTCCGGTTACATTTTTAGCGGTAGGATATATATTAAATACCAAAGGCAATTGTTGAACAGAATTACTGGGTTTAACAAAGTTTATCTCATACTTATAACAAATTAAGAATATAGATATTTAATAAAAAGAAATAAAAACATGAGCTATAAAAGAAAATTACTGCATTAAACATTTTCATTACAAATGTCTTTGATACTATAAAATAGAAAGATCACTTACCAATAGTTGGCAGAATTGCAGTAGTAGATCCCTCTAAAGGAGCCTTGTTAGTTTTGTCTACATCGAAAAAAATAAATATGTGAGAATTATTTAATTTATTAGAGCTTCAATTAGGTTTACAATTTTAGTATTGTTCAACATTATGTTGAGCAACAAATTATGATTTACCTGTTGTTTTGTTTCCGTTACATTGAAACAGTCATATAACGGGATTTGAACAAATAGTGATGAGAGATAAAAAAAGACACCGATCTTAAATTCCACTGCAATATGATCCTACAGTAACTATAAATGAGAAATTGAGTTGTGTATTTTTGTACAAAATTTAATGTATATATTACATCCGAGTCTAACGTGCGATAGAAAGACCGGAATATCTAGCTAAAAGGTAACTGTTTATGGCGGTTGTCGCGGTTCCGCTTAACTGTTACCATTCCTGTCTATGACGACAGCCGCTGCTTAATTCTTTTTCCTGTACTTTACAAATTAATGACATTAAGAAAAGATGTAATGAAAACTAATATTTCATTAAGTCCCTCTATGTTATAGTAGCGTATGAAGTTACAACTCCATTCATAACAACACTATGACGTCATCACTTTAGAACGTAATTCATTCATAAAAAGCGCGTGGGAATGACGTCATTTAAAACATGCGACTTTTCTTACATATGGATGTAAAACAGTTTTTTCTAGCATGTTAACAGTATATAATCCTGACTGATATGCAAGCAAAAAATGAATATAATATTAAACAAACTATTGTTTTAAAACATGATATGAATTTAACATGTAATGTAAATTATATTTATAAAGCAAAAACTAATTACTTCTCATTTTGATTCAAATATTAGTAGACCATAAAGAGAGCTAGTATCAGCTCATCTTGTTAATCACTTTTTAAAGATTTTATCAATTTTTTATATAGGCCATACTGTAAAAAAAGACTTTGTTGTGAAATAAAGATTATTTGTTACCTGTGCTATATATCGTGGTAGTTGTTTTTGTTGCTGTTGTATCACCTGGACGGTCATCCGATTCATCGGAATCAGGTACTACTGCAATCATTATAACGATAATAGTGTACATGACTTTATGTTAATTAGATCGTTTAAAAGATTAAAGTTGTTTCATAAATCAAAATACTTAATTGAGAGTCTAAACACTACTGTAGAAATTTGTAGAATCTATTGCAGAAATCTCTACATAAAAAGTGTTAAACGTATTTTGTGTACATCAAAAAAAAAAGTTATTTATAGTCTTTTCAAGTTTTATATGTTGATTTATATTTCTTATTAAAGATTATACAGGTTTGAGCGGAAATCAGTTTCGTTCCAATGTCTTTTATCTAACAAGAAATGATATTTATTTGAAAATGAACTTAATTGTTACTAGCCTGACATTTGCTATCTATTGAACACTGTATATTTGAAATAATAAACGTTATAGTGAATTTAACAAAATTTACCAAATGAACAAATCTGATCTTAGATAAAACTGGTAAGAAATTATTGTATTCAAAGAAATTATTACTATCAAACATTTGTTTCGAATTTTTCTCATTAACTTTTTTATTGATAGATTATTTAAAGACACGGTGATGAAAATAAAGACTAACTAAATAACGTGTGATTACGTATACAAGGTAAGTTAAACAATGGTTTGTTAAAGGTTGCATACCTGCGGATATTAAACACAAATATACTAGAAGCATTAGATACTCCATTTTCTTTACAAAATATTACTTATTTGTACGAGTGGTGTAGAGAATTTTCAAAGGCACTTATATATCAAAACATTCATGTTTTATTATGAAAATTGTAGAAGTGTTTATATTATTATATCAATATTTATCACGATGTTAAACTTTCATGTGTAAAGTTCAAAGTAAATCGTCATTTGTTTAATTGATTTGTGACTAATCAGGATGACGCTGATCAAAATGAACAGTCATTCTTGTAAGCCACGTACATGACGTCATTTGTCAAGGAATGATTCATTAAGTAAACTTAATTTCTGTAAATTCGAAATATAAATAAACATTTTATAATATGATAAAAAGGAAAATGAAAAGCAAATATGAAATGATATATAATAAAGATTTGTTCTTTATCTTTAATGTATAAACATTTAAATAAAAGTGATAAAAAGAACGTGCATTCACATTGTACGTAGCATTTCTTTAAATAGAATTGCAAATGCCATTGAACGTTATTGTGGAATAATTGTTTTCAAAAACCTTTATCACCTTCTTCAGCCACAATTTCAAGTGATTAAGATTCTTACCTACGACTGTCATCTTAAATCAAAATTACGTTGTATAAAGTTTTAAAAGAAATTATAAACCCAATTTTTACACTTTTCAATTTTTAAATTGATATCTTATCCAAAATTATTAATATAAGAGAGTTCATTAGTCAAAAAGGAATCATTACACTTTTCCTAATCTAACTTATAGATCTGTTTAGGGGAAAACAACGTTTCCGTGTACACTTAATCAGTTATTGATATAGGATATCCTCAAACAAATGATTCATCCTGACTATTATTTTGGAGATGGTTCGGCGGTAATTACAGTTCTTACTATACGCTGACGAGACAGTCATTCTTGACAAAACCTACCACTCAGTCAAGCCTAGATGTATCTTACAAACATTGCCAAACATGAAAACATAAATTTTTTTCAACAATTGAAATCTAATAAAGATATTCCTTTAACATATATAACAATGTTGTTGAGGTAGTGAAATATTATAAATATTTAGGTGTTATATTTCCGCTTCAGGTAGTTTTTTGTCATGCTAAATATTGTTGTTCGGGCAAATAAGGCCATGAATCAGTTACATATAAGAATAAATTATCTATACCTTGCTAATGATATCCAGATAAAGCTTTTTGATCAAACTGTTCTAACGGAACGAAACTTTTGTTATGAGAATGTAGACCCTATTTAATAAGTTCATGTTAACTTCCTACTTAAAATAACTCAGACGAAAAAGAGTATTCTCTGGTACATCTACGCAGATCTATAGGACGATAACCTAAAGATATCATTATAAAATCTCGAATGTTTGAATTATGGAATAAGTTAATCTTGTCCAATGACCCAATAAAACTAAACTATCAAACATGTGTTATAGTTACATGATACAGACTAATCATAAGTGAATATGTTGTGTTAAGAATATTTAAAATAATACAGGTAAATTGTATATCTGGTAAACCCAACATAATATATGTGGCTATAACATCCACAAATAGATCAAATCTACGCTATAAGAACAATTTAAAAAACAACTGGTCTTCAAAATTAGTAATCTTTAATAAAGATGTACAGCTGTTATAAAAATTCGATCAACCTTGATCTTACATTCCTAATAAGCTTATTAAGAGTGTCCCCTTTTTCACTTTTGCACTTGTAAGCATAGTTTTTCCATTGCAATAAGCCTTTTAATCCGCATGCACGGCGCAAGTGTCGGTTATGTCATCTTAATTGTCTTGGCGATGAAATGCATAATTTACTTGAACATCATTCCTTCAGGGTCAGACCTTAATCAAAATATAAAAGTAAATCTGACTAAATAACATCATATCTTTTCAATAGTAAGCATGCGTAGATAGTCATCGCTCTATTTGTTTTAATTTTTCAAAAAAAAAAAATCTTGCGAACCTTTATATACCTGTGTTTCTTAGGCTTTGACACTTTGACAAAAATAATTGTTTACTGTAATACCCATAGGACAAAAAATAACATAAAAGATTATTTGCATTAGATTTTTCTACTGTCCATTGTTCATACACATTTAATTTTATTTTGTTCACTATACTGCTTTTGTTCACATGTTATTACACTTCACGTGTATATTTTAATCTTTGTCATTTCAAATAAATATTGTGTTTTGTTCTTTTCAGTAATGACTGAATGTTTGTGTAATGCAAATTTTACGCATAAAATAAATGAGGAATACTTTTTTGCAATGTTTCGGCCGCTTGACATTAAATCTATTGAGCAATTAGAATATTTTATAGTACATATAATCATCTTTCTACTGAAGCATAGTTGTAGGAGGAAATTTAAATTTTCATTTATGCAAATTCTGTATTTTATCATCATACCTTTTTATAGGCAGTTACTTAACCAAAGTTTTTATTTCATGACACAAATTGTTTTTGAAAGATTCTTAATCTGGAGATAAGATGAACCCTTGAAAGCCGGAATCACAATTATGTTTAATTGAGTATGTTCATAAGGGATAATGAAAAGTGCATCATTCCTGAAGCACTCTAGCACCGGCTTTTGCGACACTCAGTTTTCAACACTTAAAATACTTTGATTATGTTAATTTAAATGAGATTTTTAATCGAATCTGTTACTTTATTTGCATGTATCAATCAAAAATTCTGATAGTGATCAAAGTCATTTTAAAGAGTTTAAATACTATAACTAGGTATATTACGAACGAGTATTCATTTTAAAGATATATTTTGATTTTTATAAATCAATGTTTCAAATACCATATGTCTCTAAAATCGTCGGGATAGTTACATTTTATGATCCGTCAGTTACTCAAGTCTTCTTGGGATACCTCTCTTGAACGTCTTGCTTGAACCATGGAGGTTGATAAGACGTATTTAAGTTATAAATTGTACTTTGCCCATTTTAGGGTAAAATACTTAAATTGCAGAAATTTATAGTAAGATAGGTAGACCTTTCTGAATATTCCTTAATGGAATAAAAATTCTCAAACTATGTTTTGGAAGCTGCATATCATTTTATTGATAAAGTTGATTAGGTCTTTTCTCAAAAACTGCCATTATTTCATGACATTCTGTATTAGTAATGTGTTATCCTTTATAAATAACATCACTTCTTTGTTTGTACTCTAAAGATGTTTATTTTACGTTTTTAAAATGTTTAATAGGGTTTATAAGCTTTTGCTAGAGGACATGGACGGTAAATTGCATTTTCGAGTATCGTTCATGAACAGTCTCAATCAAATCGAGGCTGTAATTATTAAAAGTTTGTCTTTTGGTATTCCGTTTTTCTCTATTTCTCTTTTTCCGAATATCGAATTTTGAGTTTTATATACCTTTAAACACAATGCTGTAGAAAAACACGAGGCAAGTCAATGAAAAACAACTTTTCTAATTTGTCCACAGCAAACAAAAAATGGTATTTAACAGGAAGCGACAGTTAACAATTATATTTATTTAGTTGTTTCATAATCTTCTGAGCCTATTCTAAACTCAACTGTATTAAAACAAACAAGTATTGAATAGATGTCTTTGTTGATTTTTCTCAGGAATAAAACGTTGTTTTTTTATCAGATTAGAAACCAAATTAAAAACTAAAGAAATAGCTAAAAATTGTTTTTTCATAAGTTAAAGGTTTGTCAATTATTGTTACTCTCCTAAGGGTTACTCGGAAGGTTTTCCTATTCTAAATTAGAATGTTGACGCTATAGACAATTTATGCTTTTATATGCATGGTGATAATAGCGTAATCCATTATAATTGATAAGGAAAAGAATGTATTTGTAGCTTATTTGAAAGTGAATGACCTTTTTTATAGGATCGTATGGACAATACTTTGTGTTAAGTTAAAAATAATATCACCCTCATGATAATGTAGTGTCGCATTTCTACTTTTTGCTTCAGGTTAAACATGTAATGGCTAACACAAAACAACACAAGCTCGTTTATTTCCCAAACCGATGTGAATATGTCTTATAAGCTACATGATATGTTTATATTTCTTGTTGAAGAAATAATATATTGTCATGTTGTTTTTCATTGAAAAAAATGGTTCATTAAAATGTTTAAATTCAATGCCCTTTATTAAGATGATTAATTACATAAATTTACAATTTCAAATATATATCCATTTAATTATTTATTGAATGACACTAGATATAAAAATTATCATTCAAATTTGATAGAAACTATTTTTCTAATAAAAGAAGCTCAGAAAAAGTGATCAATTATGTTGATACAGAGCTTTTACAATTTATTTCACAAATGTGTTTAAATAAAATTTTCAAAAGTTTAAATCTTACAAAACTGTATTTCCATACGATCGTAAAAAACTGTTATAAATGAAAGAAATGCGTGTTTCCCTTTTGGGCTTATTTATTTAGTTATAAGATTTATTATAATATTCTATAGATATTTCAGCGGTCTCTGTTCGCCCAGTAATTTGTTCAACAGAGTCGTCCATATCTTCAAAAACGTCATCAAAATCCTCCTCTTCTGTTTGTATGGCTTTCTCGTCCATCTGCTTGATCTCTTTATGTTTCTTTCTAATGAAATAAAATATATTGTTAATGTAGCAAATTACGGTGGCGCAAAGGTGACGTGTGTGTTTTATTTATCTCGTTCGCACGAGATACTATGTCGTGACCACGAGTTACCAAGTCGTGACAACATGATAGTAAAGACGTTAGAACGAGATACTATGTCGTGGCCACGAGATACTAAGTCGTGGGCACTAGATAAATAAGTCTTGGGAACGAGAAACAATGTCGTGGCCACGAGTGACCTAGTCGTGGACACGAAATAATTAAGCCGTGGAAACGAGATACTTTGTCGTGGCCACAATATACTATGTCGCGGCCACAAAATTACTAAGCCTTTGGGCAATGAATAATTTGAGTCCTGGGAACGAGTTTACTAAAAATTCGGGTATAATATTTTCGTGGTACGATTTAAACTAAAAAAACGGGGAAAACCCGAGATAAAAAGTTGTGTTCACGAGATTTAAAATACAATCAATTAAAAAACTATTTTATAAATTTTTCCCTAAATTAAATAGAGAGTGCCATTTTATAATCGTTATTGATTGGTCAATTTTTTTACATCTAGGGCCCAATTGTGCCCCTGATTTTTTCACCCAAAAACCCTTAAAAAATTTAAAAAGGGGTGTATCTTTTTTAATCAGGTTAATAAATCTTTCTAGGATTTTTATTCCCCTTTTGGCTTTTTTCCTTTCCCAATTTATTCATCAGAAAAATTTTTAAATACATGAAGTTTCATGGTTCCCTTGGGCCCCGGTCTTGCCCCAAAAACTTTTATGGGCATTACTGTCTTTTAAATAGTGTAAAATTCCCTACTAGTATCAAAAAAAAACACTCCAGGACAAATTTCCTTTTTAAAAGTTATCGTATAAAAAAAGGGGTTTAAAAGGTCGTCAAACGAAAAAAAAGACCAAATTTATATCAAAAAAATTGCCCCAAAAAAGGCGAAAAACTTGCCCCAAAAAAATGTCTGATTTATGGGCTTGGGACGATGATTTCAATATGCTAAGACATTATAAAGTTTAAGTGAATACTTCAGTTTTTCAAAGTTTTAATTTTTATGTAAATTTTTTTTTTTAAGGGGAAAATTAATATATGTATATAGTGAAATCTGTTTTGGATAATTCTCTCGTACACAATTTATTCGTTCCCCAGCATATATAAACTCGTGCCCACGATTAGAAATTGTAAAAATAGTTCTCGAGCGCACCATTTATTATCTCGTGCCCCAACTTAGTAAAGCTTTTGGGCCGACATAATTCTCATGGCCACGCTTAGTTTAAATCTTTTTTCCAACACTTAAAAACTCGGGGCCACGGACTTTTTAAAAACTCTTTTAACCACGACAAAATTTTTCCTCGTTTTTCCCCGCCAAATAAAATTAATTTCTTGGGCGGTTTTTTTGGGAATTATTTTGGCCACACTTTTTAAAGTAATCCGGGCCACGAAAAATAAATTCTCAAAGCAATATTCATTAAAAAATGAACATTACATTTATTCATTAAACCCCCTGCCCACGTTTAATCTTAGTGAAATGTATGGTTGCTGATTTGTGCCATTCATGTTTTTGCCCCGCGACCCCGCCAAACGAAAAACCGAGAGTTAACAAGTTAAAATGGCGTGGATGCGGAGCGAAAACACGCTGATTGGAGGGGGACGCGGGGCGAAGTTAAATAAAAAAAAACTTCGTGGGGTTAAAAAATAAAACGGTGGGGGCGGGGAGCGGAAAGACGCTTATTAGCGCCCTCGCTAATAAGCGTGTTTTCGCTCCGTGCTACCCCGCCGCTCCCCCGCTAATCTAACTTGTAAATAACCGACATTTCGCTTGGCAGGGTCGCGGGATGAAAACACGCTAATTAGCGGGGGTGCGCGGCGAAGTTTAGTTCAATAAATAGCGTGTCCCCGCTGTTTTATAATTTAAATCTTGCTCCGCGCCCCCGCTGGGCGAAGTTTTTGATATCGAAAACAAAATGTTTATACTTTATCATGACAACTGCGACTATTGTGATTGTTGCTGCGATCGTTATTATTACTATAGGAGCCATGAAATACGGAATTGCTTGAAAAATAGTGTCGTCAGTATCTGTAAAGGGATCAAACAAAAAGATTAATAAATTACACAATTAACTTTGATTTGGAAAAGGTGTTAATACGCAAGAATCAATATCTTATTATTGAGCAGTGCACAGTTTTCCGTACAAAGTTATATTGATTTGTTGTTACTTTTATCCAACATGTTTATACTAGTAATCATTTTAAACAAAAATACTATATTACCGGATCTTGATTTAAGTTAACCTTTGTTGAGATTTCAATATTTAAACGTGCAGGATCGAGCCGCTGTAGTGAATACCAAATGATAATAGAAATAGAAAACCCAAAGGTTGTTTGATAATACAAATTTGTTTGTTAATGCCAATGTTCTTGTTATATCAACTCAAGACATCATCATAAAATTTAGGAGCACATTCCCAATTATATCATTCTTCTATATATGAATATCTTATTTTTAAAAAAGTATCTACTCAGTGATTACAGGGCATGTGTAAAAAGTTTTCCCCTAGTTCCCTTTGTAAAGAAGTTTTGATTTTGGAAATTTTAAAATTTTAAATACAAAACATAATACACAATGCCCCTTTCAAACATTTATTTAAGTAAAATATTTACTAAATCTTATTTTTTAAATGTAATATAAAATTTTTCAAAGTACCTTAAAATCTTAAACATGCCTTAAAGAAATTGATTATTTTTTAAAAGTTTTAAATGGATACTTTTTGTTTTTGTGTCTATACCGTTGATAAAAATTTTAAAAATTTTTTTTAAAAGGGGTAAAAATACCCTTTTTCATTTCAGGCATTTTTTTTCTGTTCTGTTTTTGGTGTTGTAATAATTTTGTGGAGGTAGCAAAATTTTTTTCTCATAATTTGACTTTTTCTGTTTAGTATTGCCAGGATGTAAATACGAGTTTTATGCTACAGAAAGTGTAGACGGAGACGAGTATAGAAAAAACCCCTGCAAAAATATTGAGATTCAGAAAATTAATTATTCAAAAAATAATTTTAACAAAATTTTAAAATTTGGCATTACAAAGGGTTTTTCATAGAAATTTGGGCCTATCTTTTTAATTGAGTCGTTGTGGTTTGTTCAATTCATTTATGCATAAGTATATTTCATGTTTAATAATCATATCAGTATAAACATTAATGTTAATTGGTTCAATTTATATCCTTATTGTTGTTTAAAAGATATATGTAATACTATACTTTTGACAGTGTTATTTTTCACGTCTTTTTTATTTTTGGTGTTTTTTCTTTCTTACTGGAACTTTTTATTTCTATGAATGATAATGATGTTATGGTGTTCTTTATTCCTTTATTTGCAGTTGTCTGTTCTCCTTTTGAAACAAATTTTCTAGAATGTCATCAGTTTAAACTTTTATGTTCTTATAATTCTTTTTCTTTGCTTTTATCATGTGACCACAGAATTATTATATTTATAATTATTGTATGTAACGAGATACTGTAAATGTATAAGTTACCGAAATGAACTATTTCTCCTTCTTCTTCTTCTCATTACAAGTCTAGAATTTCGTTATACAATTTGAGGCAGATCTGTACCAATAACATGTGTGAAAAATTTTAGATCTTTCATTACTTTTAGTTCGATTGTGTTGGAAGATATAAGCCTATTGAAGCCCTCTCGAATCCGTTCATGGAACCAACCAAGCAATAAGTTTGAAGTTTCTTGCTTAAGGAAACAATACTTGGTCAGGGAAACAACGGCTTGCCCTTGACGGGCTTTGAAACCCCCATGATCTTTCGTTCAATCTGTTTCTCCAGAATTATAATTTTTATTGCGCAAAATAACCTAGACAACAAGCAATTATCATAGTATTGCAAGCAATCTATAAGTCCCCTACCGGTTAGAACCCCAGCAACATACTGAAGGGCCATAGGCCATTCACTTATGTTTCTATTTTAAGTAAATTTGTTGAACAAGTTCTTTAAAAGTGATCAAAGGAAACAGTTTTTATGAACAGAAAGACAGACGGACTGAAGGACACTCTAAAGTTATTTTTTTAAACATCCCTTTTATCAAAATATAACATTTTTAAAAGCAAAATTCTTAAAAAGGAGATAACTCTTGAAATAAAGATGCAAGACGTCATACATGATGTGAGTGTAACAAAGAACAATTAGTAATGAAGGTGTTGATAATGAATGTTTATTTTGAATATTAAGTAAAAGAAAGTTAAAAGAATGAATAAGAAAAATTCAAAGTTTAAGGAGGAGATAATTCTCGAAATATGGATGCTAGATTTATAAACCTTGTCATATTATTATGATGTGGGAGTTTGAAGAAAATCCTATAATGATAGAAAAAGTTGAAGTAAAAATTACCAATTTCTCGAAAAAAAAAGTCTGAGTTCAAAAGAGACATAATTCTGAAAATAGTCTTGCCAGAGTATTGAACTTTCTCACAAATAATGAGTGATAATAAGAAACATATCTATGAAGTTTAAAGTAGATACATTCAGAAATAAAGAAGTTATTTTAAAAAACAATATTTTTTATGAAAATTCTAAGTTCAAGGGAGGAATTCTGATAAATTTTGTGCTAAACTTATATTTAAAGTTCGAAAAAATACCTTAAGAAATAAAGAACTTATAGTGAAAAAGCATAAAAATTTGAATCAGAAATCTTGAAATTCAGTCAATTTGTTGCCATAGCAACAAGAATTTTCAACATCTACACATATTTCAAGTTTAATAAAAATATTTCCAGTATTTTTTACGTTATCACTGGATTTAGGTTATGTGTAAAATTTGCTATATTTTCAGTCTATTTGTTGCCATAGCAACCAGAATTTTTCAACATAGGAAGAAAAGAAAAAGACGTTCATAATCTCCATACTGCCATCTATCCATATATCAAGTTTCATAAAAATATTTTCTGTACTTTTTGCGTTATCGTGGGATCCAGTTTTGTGGACGGACGGACTGACAGACGGACGGACGTACGGACTGACGGACAGAGGGTTAACCTAAAGTCCCCTCCGGTAAACCAGTGGGGGACTAAAAAGCGTATCGCCGCTTTTATATCCTTTAGTGCTGAGAATATCTATATATCTATTATTAAGACTGAGTATATTTCTTTACTGTATATTCTTCGTATGCTTCCGTTGTAAATGCGCCAATAAATGAATGTAAGAATTTCAAATTTTACGTTGGACCTCTGTGGAACTTCTATAAAGAACTATAACAGTCACACAAAGCTTACATGTATTTTGATAAAAAGTAGTTATTAGCATATACAAGTATGGGGGTGATAGTTACACAATTCCATCGAAATATTAATACTTCGGGAAAAGATCAGCTTTCTGTGCAGAAGAGATACCCTCAAGAAAGATGAAAATTACTTTGATACGTAATTGAAGACTCGATTTGACTTTGTTTATCAGATGTTTTTAATTGGTGTCACATTTAAGTTCTTACATAAAAATTAATGAAAACCAATATTTTGATAATAACTTATTAATAGTGTTTATTTAATCAGTAAAAAACCAGTGAGGTTTCAAGTTCAACTCTATTCTTGCAAAGAACTGCGCATTCAGCACACTCATAGAATTACATGTTTTACTTTTAAAATATGCATTATTATACCTATACAATTTTTCTCTCTTTTTTCATTATCTAATCTTGGTTTGAAGATATCTTGAAATTCCAGTCATTTTATGTTGACGCAGCGTAAATGTTTGAAAACAATAATTCTAGATATGTAATAGTAATATTTACCTTCTATCACTGAAATTGCGATACATATGTAAATACTATTCATAAGATCCATTTTTGTTTTTCCATAAATAAATATTAATTTAGATGTTATTTACAAAATTCAATCACTGAAGGGCATCCGATAAATCGTTATAATTTGAAATTGTTGAACACAAATTCAAGCAATCAAATATTTGGGCGGAACTAATTGTATAATTCGATAAAATCCGTTTCATTTTATAGTATTACCGTTGTTATTGTGATTGATAAGTGTAAAAGATAGCATAATTTGACGCTATGGCCAGACTTACAATTGGTAAACGTAGGGTTTTCACAGGTACGAGAAAACACATTTTCTTTCAAATATAAAAGACACTGTTAAGACAAAGGTTTAAAATGTTGAATTTAATCAAATGCTGCATTAAAGTTTCTGTAAAACATCATGAAAAACTAGGAGGAACTTTTAAAATGCATTTGTAAAGTCTTCTTAATGTTTATTTTGCGTTACAGTGCTCATACAATTTTCATTTACCCGTTACTGTTTACTACTTCTTGATATTTTTTCAACTGATGCATATTCATTGTCATTGTAATACATGTTACCATTATCAACAGATGTATCTATACAGTAATATTGTTCAAACACTACATTATTTATATGAGAATAATCCCCATTATCCGCTGCCGTTGGTATTGCAGCAGTTATGGTACATGTATTATAATCTGATATCTTTGCAACAGTTTTACTAGTCTCAATGCCTTCTCTTGTCTTTAACTGCAACGTGTTATACACGTTGTCTCCAATATCAGTGTCACCTTTGCTGCCTGTTTGTTTAACATCATACTGCATATGTGAATACATATTGTTTCTATCTCGGCGCCCGTCTGAAAACTGATTACTACAACAAATCGAGTAATATTCGTCATTTGTATGGTTCGCTATTTGATCATAAGTACATCTAGTCGAACCAATGTTATCATGTTGCTTATGTAGTGAATCATAGTTGTCATTTTCGTTAACGTCTTGGCAGAAAGGTTTAATTGTCTTATTACTGGCATCACTAATGTTCGAGTATCCGTTTACGACTGGTTCTACGTTAACATGTAACCGTTCTCCCTTAGCTATCTGTGTCTCGGTTATTGTTCCATTTAAATTCAGAATCGAACCAGTTCCTTGACTGATATTCTCAAAGTGGCTGATTTCCTTACGTAGTTTTCTAAAATAAGACAACTTATTGAGAGATAATTCTACAAACATATTTTGCAACTTTTTCTAATTGTTGTTTTAGCATATCATTCATTTGAGGATCTACAAAGCTGTTCAAATATTTCAATTCCCCTACGACTATGGAATCGCTAAAATTCATCAATAACTGAAATCGGCAATTTAAAGAGAAATATAAACATATTTTGTACCTATTAGATTTTCCTTGCAATGATGAGGAATGTCATGAGTCCTTTTAATTATGTAACAGTCTATAAGAATCTGAGTCTCCTAGGTTTTATAACAATAAACACTTAAAAATATCTATCATTTACCTTTGTCTGATATAAACTCCTAAAAGTACAACAAGTAGTAAAACAATACAACCAAGGGGTACTGTAACATACAAGATAACCGTAGGTGTACTGGAATCACCTGTAATACCATATAATAAAGTGTACATAAATTTATTTTTTTAATTAAAAGCAGTCGTATACTAAGATTCTATACACACGGACTCGAAACATAGCGTCATAGTGGATGCATTTTGGTTTAATCAGATACACTGATTTATTCAGAAAGAACTATAACTTTAAATTAGTTACTTATTTCATCATGAAAATTGATATCTGACAAACAAAGCAATAAGCTTTTTCATTACACAGGTATATTACTAGTTTTATATTCTTAAAACTTTAGGAATTTTAATTATGAAAACTGTTTTATTTTCGTTTGCAGATAAGCTTATAAGCAAACCTAATCTTATTATAACGTCAATGTTTGCTGTCCTAGAGGATTCAGTAATGATTAACCCAAATTATTTTTTTCTTACTTTCAGTTCCGGAGTTCGGAAACTGTGTCGATGTCGAACTTATTGTTGTTTTCTTTTGTGTCGTCAATGATGAGTGCGTTGTAGATATTACTAGTGAGAAAAGTATTCATATTTCATTATAAAGTGATTTAGTTTATGCATTTCTGCTTTTTATTGCTTGAATGGAGATTCAATTCGATCTTTACTTACATAAACGTGTTACTATCTTCCACGGGTAATACAATTTAAATATTTGTGTTTACTTAAATATAGCTTTTCTATATTTAAAACTGCTTGCAACAATATCTAAAATGAAACATTTGCCATAAAAAATATCGTTGATAAAATACTTGATGATGGCTTTTTCTGTTCTGATCAATATGCATGTCGACATAAATGTTATACTATAATGTTTGCTCTCGTTGAATATTTCAACAAGTTTTTACACGATATTTACCTACTAGATGCTGTAAGATAGATTATAAGACAACGTGTCTATAAAAATAAGACATTAAAATTGAAAACTTACGGGATATATCATACACTGATACGCTCCAACGTCCTCCGCATTTTTCTTTTATGTTTCCTGTGCAAGTAAATGTGCAACCATTGGTATAAACCTTCTTCTGTAATTTGTGCCCACAATAACACTCATCACCTAACTGTAAACATGCATTTAAAACACACTTTTTTAAATCCATGTTAAACAAAATATACTTATAACTGTATATTTGTTTTATTTTGTACAGTCCATAGTGCTTCCTACGATACAATAATAGGGCAAAAGTAATATTTTAGAAAATTTAATGTAGTTTTCTTTCAAAGATTTTTGAATTGATATATAAAAAATTGATTTTAACTGAATGATGTAAATTTAAGAGCGTTGCTGAAAATATTGGATATCAAAATGTGTATATCTAAAATATATTCTATTACCCTGATTTATTACGTGTAAGCACAAGTAGTTTTGCAATGTGTTTTGAGGCGGGGAAGTATCTAGCTAGCTTACGGAGGGTCGGTGGTTTGTTATACTTAGGTGCCTGTTCGTGCTTAAAAATAATGCGTGTCGGAGGAGTAAAATATCACCTCAGTTCCTGCATATCTGTAGCCATCTATTTTGCAAAATTGTATGCATTCGTCCCCAGTGTTTGTCTTTGACGTGCGGCTCTTTCCGTCAAGAATTCGATTCTTCAAGTCCGCAAAGCAACCGATGTAACTATCGGGTGTGTAAGCTGTAGTATGCAAATTGCGTATCTTACTTTTTATTTACGAAGCACTTAATTATTAAGAATATGAATAAATTTCCCCTGTCACACTAAGGCAGCGTTCTCACGGCATCTAAAGCAAATTCAGAACACCGAGCGCAGTAAGCTTTAAGGTCGCAAGCATCGCTGCAGCATCGTCTTAGCATTGCAGTGGCATCGCATAGAACGCATACCGATGGCGCGAATTTTGAACATGCTCAAAACAAACGCCGTCACTCGGCGGTCTGATTAGAGCGCAGTGTGATCACAATAAGGACGCCTAGCAACTCAGGAGCATATCTTACAACGCAACAAGAGCGCCGTGAAAGCGCAGAAGAATCGCAAAAATGAAGGCCGCGGTTAGCAACAGAGCCTGTACAGAGATTGTGCGGCGTCACTATCGGGCTAATACTGTGTGTATACGGCGCTGCTTTAACGGAGTTTTACAATTTCACAGCAGTGTGAGCGCCGCGAATGCGCCGTGAAAGCTCAGTAAACGTGCACAAAACGGAGTAGAAGCGCAGTCCGAATGTAGACAATTGCCAAGAATGCATTACAACGCCATGGAAGCTCCGTAATCGCAGCGAGGACGTCGTGTAGTCGTCTCCATATTATAAAAACATCAGATTTTTCTTGCGATAACGCGGCGCGTTGTTAAATTTAACAACGCCATGTAAACGCAGTCTAGTGTGACAGGGTCATTATCAGATATCAGTCTTTCAGCAATTTAACTCTAAATAAGTTTTGAAATCCAACGTATTCAATTTCACTTACCTCTGGAATGCATGCAATAAAATGAAATTTGAATAATAAAATGAATAATCATATTTTCAACCATTAATTAATATTGTTCAAATCAATTGTGTATCAAAAATATAGTTTTTATCGCATTTATAGCAAAATGACTAGGATGTTAATAAAGTAGAGTAATTGCGGATGTGAGCTCTTATTAAACGTAAACATTTGTACGAACAATATAAGATACTTGTACTCCAATTGACAGTTCAAATCAAAAGTTCATGTAGTGCGCTTTATATATATTGTTTTATTCAATCAACATTTTAAACAATTCATTATACAAAATTAATTAAATATCAATAATTCTCGAAGGACAACGAAACTTAATACTCTATTTCTATATTTTGTTTGATATTATTAATTTTGTTAATCTGTTTTGTATATGCGTGCTTGCGCGAATATGTGTCTGTTCGTACTTCTCTGTGTGTATGCGTGTTAAGCAGTAAGATACATATATCAAGTGGTAATATCGTTGCAAATATAAATAATAGATGTCAACTGTGTTAAATGTTAAATTTGTAATACAATGCAATATATGTTTATTTAGATCTCACTTTTGTACATATATCAACAAAATAGAACTGAAATATGTGGAAGCAATAAAATTATAGTAAAAATCATAAACAAACGCATATTAAGTATTATTCAAATTTTGACTATAACACATGTGTACAGAGTAACATTAGCCATTACATAAAAAATATGCATTACTCATTATCACTATAATTATACTATACTTCTTTTAATTGTTTTGCATACGTCCTAAAAGTACTCTTAGATCTATTTTTATTGCGAAAAAATGGACATTTAACAAGATCGCGTAGCTCAGCTCCATTGTTATAACTACAATTAAAACATATTCTCACATTAACTGGCAAAGCTTCATAACGACCAGTCTCAATTTCTAGAGGAGCAACTCAACATCTAAATTTGGATACTGCGCCCTTATAATGTATTTTGATTATTTCTGATTGTAAATAATGTTCTTTTTTATATTATTCTTAAATAGTTTAATTGTCTTTGTTTGTTGTCATTTGTATGTCCGCTTACACAATTAGTTTTCTTTTTTCTCGTCAACCAATCATTTATGAAACCAGGGATCCGCACTATCAGTGCTTGAAAGGACGTCGACAAAGAATAGGTTGATAAAACATACTTTAGAATTTTCAAAAAAAGAATGAATAAATTTTAAATGCGTTGTTAAGATAATTGTTGTCTTAAAAATGGTTATAAAAATTGATGTTACTTGAAATGGTTTAAAAAGATATACCAAAATGTAAATTATTTTTAAATATATTTTTCTGGTCCTTCGGGATCATTGATACAAGCATTTTGAACAGTTGAAAATTGAGTAACGCTCAAGCTAGTGCTAGGAGCGTGAGAGATGTTGCACTTTACATAATTGATTCCGGTGTAGCGTGAGATTCGTCAGACCCGTGAAAAATGTAAGATCTTACGAATCTCACGGGAGGGTCGTGAAATATGTCAGACGTGAGAAACGTAAGACTATTTTAGTGGAGAACATTTCCTGTTGCAATTAAATTAAATACTGTCAATATTTCATTGCATCAATAAAGTAATGGTTAAAGCGAAGGAGTTTGACTGTTTTTACGAGTAAATAATAACAATTTTAATCAATGTTTCGGCTTTAAAATAGCCGCTCGGATGTTCATGATTTTCTACAAATTAATTTGGATTTTTATATTTTGCATAGATCTACTATGAAGTAAATATGAAGTAACTAATGGACCACTCCTTATGTTTTTAAAATAAAAACATACAGTAGTGAATGTTGCTGTCCATCTATGAGTGAATTACACAAATGCCGAGTAGTAAATTGAAATCATCTTGTTCGGCCCTAAATGAACTCGACCGAGTCGATCATCTCGGCCACGATCTGCATCCGTTCAAATAATCCTTATGATCTGTTAAGAAATTATCAACAGACGTTTTGTGATAAATAATAACACCAGCGGGTATTAATTAATTTTACATAGGGTAATACTTGAACAGGCTGGTGCTTTAAACCTATAGATACCACACTGTGACAGACCCAGCACAGTGTTGGGATAGTGTAAAAAGGTAATTCTAAAAAAGATATACTGTATATATAATATATAGACTTTATTATATATACAGTATATATATTTTTTTAGAATTACAATGTACTTTTTTACACTATCCCAACACTGGGCTGTGTCCCTGTGATAGATACCTTTTATCACAGACACTTGGGGTGCCTTTAAAATCCAAATAAGATATATCTTTGTCAATCCCAGCACATGTACTGATCATATATGTAAAAAAAAATAATATAAGCTGTTTTGAAAAAAAAAATCATATTTCAAGGTCTAAAATAATACACACACACGAGCTCCACATCCCAAGTGTCTGTGCCTTTTAACTGCACTGTGCTGTCCTATAAACTTACATGCTAGAAGATCTTTCGTTTTAGCAGAGGAGATCTACACATTCGTTCAAGCATCACTGGTTGCAGAATACACTATTGCAGGAATGATTGGGTACCAAATTTATTTTAAGCACCAAACTATAATCTTACAGCAATGCTACACCAATAAATCAAAGTTCCTGGCAAGTTCAAACACATCCATAGTTAGGTGCTCAACATTTTATATTTCCAAATAATGTATAACCCCAAAAAACATGTTTCAATCATAAACATGATCTTTAGACTTGTAATCAAGTTTTCACTTTTCAAGTCATTACAGTCAGGTAATAAACATAAATTATAACTAAAGAAATAGAGGATAGCCAAGTTTTTTCTATAAATACAATATTTATTTTCATTGCGTGGTATAAACATAAATATTTCATGAGTGGTGGTTGCCACAAGTGAAACATGATAATTTTCATACTACAAACTATTTAAATACTTAAATTTACTTGTTTATTATATGCATTTCTCTTTTTTGACATCACAATATGAAAGACTAACTCGGCTGAATATAGCAGAAATTAGTCTGGCAAGACACCGGTGAAAATATGTTTCACTGCAGTGAAAAATATTTTTTTTGCAGTGAAAATAAGGAAAGTGAAAATAAGCATTTAATTTCATCAATATTTCTCATCATTTTATTTATAAGTATGTAACAAAGAAACATAACCTGAAAATACCATATTTCCAGCTTGGAAAGAGGTGCACATCTTCTCTTCGAAATGTTCTTTTATATTCGTTTCTGCCGGGTACTTACATACCAGTCGAATACCAAATATTAAATAAATACCCTGATTCTTTCATATATATCAAAACACAAATCAGCAAAACAGTTGTACAAAAATTAATTTTATCAATAATTAATATATTAATTTTAAGTAAGTTATTTTACTGTTTACTATCTTTAGGGGGGCGGGATATAGGGGGTTTATAATAAAACTGACACTGGAGAAGTCATATGGTAAGTTTCAACCTGAACTGGAGTGAAGAAGGAAGATACACTTAGATATCATTTCTGGCTTGCACCAGAATAAAACTTATAATATAAGTATACTTAGACATTTTATATACTTTATATTTATCAGTATTTGTCCTAGATGCTAACTGCTTGCTAGATAGTCTCAAATTAAGAGTATTTTTTTCCTTATCAGATCTGAATTATCCATGCTAGAGGTATTGGTAAACATGTCACAACAACAATTTCTTGCATATCAGACAGGATAATCTACTGTTTGCGCGGGTGCTAAAAAACCTTGCTTACACCCCTGGCTTTAAAGGGAATTTCTAGCTCACGGGTAACTGTTTACAGAAAACTCTGCAGAGCATATTGCCGAAAACAATTATGCTTAAGCTAGATGTTCAGATCTGTACTGACAGCTGGTGTAAGATTTTTATGTTATAACCAGTATGACTGGTTCCAGTTTGAATACATTCAGTGGTTTGTAGCAACCAAAGTTTAATGCAAAATCATTAAAACAGAAATTTGCACATTTCACCTAGAGAAAAATCCTTTTTAAGCTATCAAGCACTTTGAATATTTAAATAATAATATTAATAAAATTATAGGTTAGTAATATGCACATTTTTGTAGTTTAACTGATCTGTTTAGTCACACTTGTTTTGTCTAAGTATAAATCATTTCCATAAATAAATGACTAAGTTATGAATCATTTCCATAAATAAATGACTAAGTTAAGAAAATGTAAGCGAAATTCAATCATCCGACCTGGATGGTCAATGTCATTTAAAGTTATAGCTGGTTATATGGATTTCATTAATTTGACCTTGACGGTCAATGCAATAACTTACCTTCAAGTTCAAGATCATTATGAGTGAAGGTCAAGTTGTGTCTGATTAGCTTGAAGGTCTATCCTAACAGATTGTTGTTTTCAAGTTTGAAGAAAATCCATTCAAAATTATCAAAGTTATAGCCACTAATAGCAAAATAAATCAAAATTTTGACATTTGACTTTGAAGGTCAGGATCATTTATGAATGAAGGTCAACTTTTGTCTAGTCTACTTCAAGGCCCTGCCCAAAGATATTTGAGCCGTGTCACGACAAAACCAACATAATGGGTTTGCGACCAGCATGGATCCAGACCAGCCTGCACATTAGCGCAGTCTGATCAGGATCCATGCTGTTCGCTTACAAACCCTATTACAAGTAGAGAAACTGAATGCGGATGCATAGGCTGGTCAGGATCCATGCTGGTCGCAAACCCATTATGTTGGTTTTGTCGTGACACGGCTCATTTTGTGGCAAAGTATGAGGACAATACAGCAGGATCTTAGTAATGTTATGATCAAGGTGTAAGTTTGCGGACAACAACAGGAACACTGCCATGACTGCAACAATAGTGAATACCTCTATTTCTTTTTTCGTAAAAAAAAAATTCTAATTAAAAAATTCAAACAAGGTAAAGTAGTGATTCTCTGGCACTGTAATTCTTCAAAATGGTCTCTATCAATGTGTGAAGTTTTTATCAGGGGACATCTCTGGCAGAGTGGTTATGGTTGTTGACTTCAAACCACTAGCCCCTTATCACTGAGGATACTAATCCTGACAGGGACTTTAGATTCTTTCATGTAATGAAGCTATACAGCTACAATAGCTTCAATTAGT